ACGACAAAGTGTGTCGTAAAATATGAATCAGAGATAAATTGCTTATTAGCCTAAGTGATCTAAATGAAAGTCGTAATAATCGTAATTCTGAGAGCGTGTATAAAAAGAACGCCTAAATCTGACTTCATACAAATAAGTTATGATTTTTTGGAGTTTCGGTGCAGCGGTGTGCGACACAGAAATCAAAATTAAAATTGATTTGTTGTTATCCAAAACAATGTAAATAAGAGTTGAATATCTCATGAATACGAATCCGTCGATATAAAGACAGTCGGGAACGGAGTTCGCATTAATGAGTTATGATTTTTGCACGAACTTTAACAGTGCAAACTCTATAAAATATGAATTTAAAATAGATTGCGAGTTAGTTGTTGAGATATAAAGGAAAGTTGCAGCACTCAGAATTATGTATGCATAGATATAAAGAACGTCGAAAACGGAGCTCGTATGAGAGAGAGATGATTTTTCAAAAATTTGAGAAAATACTTATGGTTAATGATGTGGCGGACCGAGTGCGCGCCACGTGGCGAAGAAAAAACCGAATCTGCCACCAACATGATGATGTGTCATCGACGTGGACCAACAACATCCAGACACGTGTCAACAAATGGGAGGAGCATCGTCGCCTGGGCGCGGTGTGCAATAACAAAGCGCGACACGCTTCATGCCTATAAATAGAGCTCGGAAATCTCTCATTTTTCACAAAATTTCCTCTCTAAACTCTCTCAAATTCTTATGGCAACCCGAGGTCCAAACTTAAGAGTTTTTAAGTGTTAGTAGCGAACTCCTGTGGATGCAATCAGGCCCTTCCTTTTCGAACTAGAAGTACTTGAAACATTTAAACATACAAACCGTAAGCATAGTGAGTTCGTCAAAACTGTAACAACGTAAATTTTCAAACCAAATTTGTCATTTTTAAAACACATAAAACTCATATATTATATTTCATAAAACCACAAGTGTCTCAAGTGTCAACATAAATCCACAATAACACAATAACACAGTAAGCACGAAACTTAGTGAGTTCCCGCGATCCTCGGAAGTACCTGAAACACATAACACAATAACACAATAACACAGTAAGCACGAAACTTAGTGAGTTCCCCAAAATACCACGTACATCACATTAGCCACCCGAGGCTATAACACTGTAAGACCCTCCAGTCTATGTGTCTCAGTGGGACCCTCCGGTCTAACGACTCGTTGGACCCTCCGGTCCGGTCTGGTTGGGACCCTCCAGTCCCATGGCTCGTTGGACCCTCCGGTCCGGTCATAATATAGCATATATTATACAGACAATACACAACTCAAGTAAGCACATAAGACCTTCCGGTCACACATAAATACCACTCTAGGTAAAGTATAGTGAGAAGACTCACCTCGTAGCTAGCAAGTAATAGACATGTACTCGGAAATCTCGAAATAGCCTCCGCCTAACACATTAGATAAGCATCTCTAATCAATACCCTACTCTTACTCAATTACACCACAAGTTCTCTTATTCTCTTTCTAACCCTTGGGATGGGTAAAAGACTATTTTACCCCTTCATGGTCTCAAATGCTCATAATTGACCCATCCTCAAAGGCAACAGAAGTCTATACGAGTCAACAGTCAAAGTTGACCTGACTCGCCGAGTGTACCCATGTGACTCGCCGAGTCCACTTGTATCCTCAAAGGTCTTGCTAAGGTTTCACTCAGCTCGTCGAGTTGACCCCCAACTCGACGAGTTATCATTGGGTCAAGAACGCTGGGACAATCCTGATCCGACTCGTCGAGTCATCTCATAGACTCGGCGAGTTTACCCAATCGGGTTCCTTATTTGGGCACCTGAGAGCAGATCCGCAACTCCAACCTCTAGATCTAGCCTCCTAATGTCCAAAAATCACGTAAAGCTTCGATCTTGATGGCCATGCATGGCATATATTGCTCTATATGCCATCACCACTCCATTAATGCTTCCAAAACGCAAAACTCTTCAGTTGATCAACTATTGCTCTGAACTTTTGGACTCTCTGGACCTCACAAGGTCCAGATCTGAAGTCTAGACTCAAAAAGGGGCTTGATGCATCCATAGCCCCATTAAGAAGGTGTTGCAAGCCCTAAATCTCAAGAGCATGAGATCCAACCATCCTACAAGAAAGGTAAAAGCTTTTTACCTTGATCTGAATCTTGAGATGAAGAAGAAGCAGATCTACTGGCCCTCCCTTCTTGCTCTTTGATTATCTTTCCTTCCTCTTCAAGGAAATGAACCAAAATGATCACAAGATTAGCTATCCTCACCACGCAAGCTCACTATGGACGTTAGGGTTTCTCTCAAGGGTGCAAGGGTACTGGTGAGACGAAATGGAGGCTATAAGTGTCCTTAAATAGGCCACAGGCCCGAGAATTTAGGGTTTCCTCCGGCAGCGCTGACTCGGCGAGTCGGCTCACAGACTCGTCGAGTCAGCTCATTAATCCACGTCACCAATTGCGACTCTACTCGACGAGTTGAGGCACCAACTCGTCGAGTTACTCAACAAACCTCACAAATAAATAAGGAAAATAATATACCTGGGAATCCGGATGTTACAAAAATACCACATACCATACATATCAGTAGGTCCATCCCTAGGGGTATATTTCAACCCATATGAATGTTATGATCTAACTATAGTCTTACAATCATTTCAGTTAATACAACCCAACTGTAGTCTTTCCTGTCATGATCCAACCATGGTCTTGCATACAAGTATTGTGATCCAACCACAATCTTTCATACAAGTGTTGTGACCCAATCATTGTCTTTCATGCAAGAGTCACAAAGACAATCTAGTATCCTACATAGTATAGTGAGAAAACTCACCTTCAAACTCGAAGTCGAAACAATCACAACTCGTAGAGGCATGAAACCGGTGCTACAACTCACTTATCGAAACATTCAAGGTTAAACCTTAGTCTACACTTTAAAACTAACCATTTGACCAAATGTCAACCAGGTCAAAAAGTCAACGGTCAAAGATCTCAACGTCGTGGCCAACCCATGGCCACGTCGTGGCTATCCAACTCAATCACGATCAAATCCTCTACCACGTCATGGAAAACATACTGCCACACTGTGGCAATGTCTAGCCAAAACAGTCACGAAACCTTCCTTCACCATCTCGTGGCATCCATCTTGCCATGTCGTGATTCCTGCACTAAGACAACTTAATGTATTAAGTCCTTAATCCATTAAGCCTTTTATTCATAAGATCTATAAAGCTTCTTAGGCCCCTAAATGTCCCTAAAAATCCGAATTTTATGGACATGCATGCCCCCATGCATGTCCTTTACTCAATCTAGGTCAAAGGGTAAGAAAATGACCTAAAACTCGTGCATGACTACCAAAACTCATCCAACTTCTAGATCCATAAGGTATAGGTGACCAGGGGACCAAGGTGAGCCATAAAGTTGCAATATTTATCTCATATAACTCTTCAAAACTGAACTATGAACCAAAACATGTAATTAATCCTAAATCTATAAGACATGGACAAAAAATATGGAAACTTGAGGACTTACAAAGAGTCCAGAAGATGCACACAAGGAGTGAATATGACTTTTTTGCTTGAACTATGCACCAGAGCTCTTCTTCTTCCCCCAAGGTCACAAAATCACCAAAAATGAGCCAAAAACTTGAAATAGGGATATGGTTTTGACAAGAGCACTTTGGAGTGATGGAGGTTGATGGTGGAGGGAACCCTAGCCATCACATTCTTTAAATAGGGCGCAAGGCCCGAAAATCTAGGGTTTTGCCTTCAGCCGTCGTCACGTCGTGGCAAGCATGCCACCACGTCGTGGCGAATAAAAAAAATGAGCGATCACCAAAGTGGTCACTATGTCATGGTGATCCTCACCACCACACCGTGGCCACCCAGAATACACAAATTAAAGTTTAAAAATAATACTTGAGAAACCGAGTTTTTCATTTTTATAGATTTTTAACGAAAAACTGGATGTTTGGAATATTTTTCATGTTTTAAAGTTACAATTATTATTATTATTATTATTATTATTATTATTAGGATCCCAATTCTACGATCCCGATCTTGCAAACCCAAAAGCAATTATATGTAACATAGGGATGAGCAGTTTTTCCCAAATCCCGATCCCATACCGGTACCGTACCGAACCGACACCAATCTGTATCGAATTTAAAAATATGGGACGGTACTCGGTAGGGGTGGGAATCGGTTCGGTTTTTTGGTTTTCGGTTTCCTCGAATCGGTTTCTTCGGATTGAAATATTTTTTTGTCCAATTTGAAAACCGAACCAAATCGAATTCAAATTCTTTAGACCAAACCGAAAACCAAATTCTAATTCGGTTTGGTTCGGTTTGAAAACCGGGGAAACCAAATATTAACTTAAAAAAATTCAAACATAAATTAAAATATTTTTAACATAGAAACCTAAAGTTGCAAACAAAAAGATCTAAAGTTTCATACGAAATGATCAAGAGAGTAAATGGGTTAAAATGATTTCTAGTTAAATACTTTTATTTAATATAAAATATAAAATATATTTTTTAATTAATTGATTTATGAAATTCGGTTTTTCGGTTCGGTTTGATTTAAACTTCATGAGACCGAAACTCGAACCAAAAACCAAATTTACAATTCGGTTTGGTCTCAAACCAAACCAAAAACCGAATTTGAATATGGTTCATCGATTTTGGTTCGATTTGGTTTTCGGGTTTTTTGGTTCCGGACCAAATAATTTCCACCCCTAGTACTCGGTATACCAAATACATGAAATTCAGGATTATTCGGTATCGCCGGTACCGGTAGCGGTGATGTTAATTCGGTTTGGTAGTCGGGATTTACTCTCGATCAAATTCGGTTTTTGGAAAATCGGAAACGGTACAGGTGTTCCGTCTCGGGCTCATCTTGATGTAAGATTGAAAAAAATGGCCATTTTAGTGGTTTTATAACAAAATTTGGTGCAAAAACGACATTAGGAATAACTTTAGGGGAGAATCGACGTTTTATTTCAACAAAACACAAACATTTGGTCCGACATTACGAGTCTAGCAATACGCCCCCAACCTCCAATCCTCCTCCGGCGAACGGTGGCCATCAGCAGTATATCCGACGGTACATCTAACGCTTCATACGGTTAGTTTCTTCATCATTATTTCTACATATTTCCTTTGAATTTTCGATGCGATTTAGTTATTGACTTCAAAACGAACATTGATTTTAAACTCTTTAAAGTAGGCGTTTCAAACAGATTTTGTATTGCTACAAATTACATATACTCGCTGTTAATCTGGAAACGACCTCAATGCGGAATTTATATCCGGAAAGTACTGTGATTGACATCAAAATCTAAAGTTTCTCAGGTTAATCGGATCTTTTGATTTGACTGCAAACCCTAATAGTTTTTACTGCTTAAATTGAACCAGAATAGACTATTTTGAGTAAGAAAAGAGGGAAAATTACAGTAGATATTGATTTGAATCAAGAGGATGGGGTCTGGTGAAGCTTTAAAAGTTGCAAAGGTTTATAGAGAGCTAATGAAAGCAGTGAAGAAACACATTGGGAAGGAAGAACACAAAACCCATTTCAGAGACTTCATAAAGTCGGAATTCAAGAAAAACGGAGATGGGTTAGAGACATCATTCATCCAGCAAAAAATCAAACTTGCCCATGATTATACTTTCCTTATAAACAGTGTCCATCATCACCAGGTAAACATTTTCCATCTTGATCTTGCAAAATCATGTTACAATCCCGTGTTAATGGAAGTTTCATGATGCTTGTGAATTGTGATGTTGTAGGAGTTGCTATTTTCATACAACATTGCTGTTGATAGAACAGATGAAATGAAGAGAATACTTGGAAAATCTGCTGCAAGTGTGGGTCTTCAGCTTCCTGATGTTTATCAACCTTGAAATTTGGAAAGCATGAATGATAATTGATAAAGCTCATAAATTTACTTCATGAATAAATTTGGGTTTTTAATTGGCAAGATTATAGACTAAATTGGCTCGTTTTCTTTCTGAATCTGGTTTAAGAGTTTGAGATGTCTTGGACACTTTACAGTTTTGGCCTTCGTTGTCTGTTTCTAATTTGCTGGAAATTTTCTAAAATGGTCATTTTGTGTTGGGAAATTGATTACTTGGGACTTTACATATTAATGTTTAAAAAAGCATTACATTTTTTTTCTTTATACTTGATTGTCATGATTACTTGGGACTTACATACGGTGCAAACAAGCAGTGTCTACATGAACTTCAAACAATAGTGTGTGGCTTGTATTTAAGTCGACTATAGTATCAACCATTTCAACTTACTCCTCTGGTGTTGCACTAACCCTACGTCCTTCTTTGATTCTTGAGTTGAAAAACTTTTGTATATCTTCGGACAGTATAATCATGAGCATTTGCGTATTATAAAAAAGCCAACTTTTCTTCGCTCATCGACTACTGAAGGAGTTAATGAGATTTCCAATGTTAACAATTGTTTTTGCATACGGTGAAAATCATGAATCACTTATAACACAATCCTATTAGCAAGTCGCCGCTGTCTAACCTCAGCGCATAACGCCTCATATTATATTTGGGAGTGGTGGAGCAACAATGAGTGTTAAAGATTGTGATAAATAAAAAATAAAATTTTGTAAAACATTGATATGGTTCCAAAAGAACATTAAATATTATACAACAATATCTAGTTGAGTTATCGACATCCAATACACATGTTACACTAATCTAAAATAACAATTTTGTTTAGGCTTCACCCGCCTTTGCCTTTGAGAGCTCTATCTGCTTCCGGTCTAAGCTTTAATACCCTCTCTAAGCTTTAATACCCTTTCTGATTTATATATATATATATATATATATATATATATATATATATTCTGTTGATACATCTAACATTTGTCTCTCCAAATAAAAATGTATAGTTTTGGTATTATAAAATATTAATAGAATATACGTATGTATATACAAAGTTACCGGCTATAGTTATGAAAGTTCTTGTAGGTATGTCATAATCTCCTTTTTCGGTAAAACCTACTTTTTAAGAAACACTTACGCAAATCGATTGTGTGCACCTTCGTACTGCTTCAAACTACTTTAGATTTTCGGATTTGACATAGTTGTTGTATGCAAACCACTGTTACTTTATTTTAAATATAATACACAAATTTACTTTATTAACAATGTACTTTATTAATAGAGTGTTTTTCCAAATAAATTGAGAACCATTTCGGAAGAGATCATATCATTTTGAAACAGTTCTTCGCATTCTGAAACGAAAAAAATATCACTACTGACATCTCTTGGCATTATGGGGGTTTATTTTGAAGGGTTCTTGGGTTACACACAAGTTACTAACATGCCTAGTGACTAATCTAACAAAAAAAAACCAAAAAGTTGAAAATCAGGCCTTCGCATCCCGGACATACTCTTTGCATTCCAGATACACTCTTTATATTCACTTTAAACATATGAACACTAAATCTAAACATATAAACATAAAATACTAACATGGTTCGTGAAATCCATGTTTTTCTTCAGAGAAAAACTTCAACGTTTGAGTTTTAATTTTCTTTTTCTTAAGATTTTCTGAAATAAGGCTGGTCTATTTATTTTAAAGGCCTTTTGCGAAAAGTAAAAAAATGGACTCATAAAATTTCTGATTAACAAAGGATAACAATGGATTAGTGACAAATATATGACATATTACAACATATTAGTGATAGATTAATGATGAAATCGGGATGTATTAAATTTCGGGACCCCTTAGGCTAAGGGGTATGGTCACACCCAATCCACTCAAAAAGTGATGCCACCTCAGCGCCATGTCAGCTTCATTATAAATCCAATACCAAACCACTAGCCATTGGAAATGGTTACCACTCCACATCATTTTTCTTTTTTATTTTATTTTATTTGACATTGGAATAAATTAAAAAATAATTATTAAACAAAATAAAAACATAAATATTAATTAAAAACTTTTTACATTAATTAAAAAAACAAAAATTTAAATTCTAAATTACGTAAAAAAACATAAACATTTAAAACCTAAATTACTAAAAAAACATAGAAAATATTACTCGTCGTCGTTGTCGTCTGTGTCGCCACCGACCCTGTTTTCGTCATCTGCGTCCTCATCCTCGTCATCTTCATTGACATCGTAGTGTTGGAATTGCCTTTGCCATATATGCTCAGTCAAATCATAACGTAGATTGTGATGTGTTTCACTGTTTTGTATTTCCAAAAGTCTTATGAAGTATTTCGGGCTGCCGACTTGTATTACTGCATGTGGATTAAGCATATTGTCCGGAGTATACATACAAACAGCCCTACGCTCTTCTTCTATTATCATGTTATGTAAAATAACACAAGCAGCCAACGCCTTAGTCAATTTTGCCCTATCCCATGACCGTGCTGGATGTTTGATAATGTGCCACTTTTGTTTGAGGACCCGAACACCCATTCCAAATCCTTCCTTGCCGATTCTTGTGCTAACTTGAACAATTTTCGTTTTTCATCGGTCGGAAATGAGTACGACATGACAAACGTAGCGTACTCTGGATATATTCCATCACCAAGGTAATAACCATAATTATATTGATGTTCATTCACAACGAACGACATGTTTGGAGCTTTACGCTGCAAAATATCGTTAGATATCGGAGACGCTCCAAGCACATTCAGGTCGTTGTTTGACCCCGCCACACCAAAGAATGCATGCCAAAACCATAGGTCATGTAAAACAACGACCTCTAGTATAACAGTCGGCACGCCATGATCACCTCGTGTGAATTGAGCTCGCAATGCATTCAGACAATTTGCCCACTCCCAATGTGTACAATCAATGCTGCCAAACATTCTTAGAAAGCCATGTTTAGCTTCATGTGTGACGTACAATCCTCGACCAATCCTCGCAAGTATATGTCACCATAAAGCTCTATAACATACTCACAAAAAAGATAAGCACATTCTCAACCAATCCTCTCAGACATTTTCAAATACTCATCTGACGCCTGCGACTATGCCGTATGTCAATTGTCTAGGAGCTGCTGTGTATTTATGTATTGTACTAAAACTACGTTTACCTCTAGCATCCCATCTCAATTGGAAAAACTCATAATTGTTTTCCAAATCTCTAGCTATACGTAAAAATAAATTTCTACTAATACGGAATCGTTCTTCAAATTTTGATAGGTCGTACAAACTATCAGGGGAAAAGTAATCACGTACCAAAAGTTCGTGTGCCGCGATACGATCCCGATTTATCGAAATTCTATGCTTCTTCTTGGCATTTGAACTTTCGCCTCTTTGTCGCACCCTTTCGCGTGCCGCAGACAACAACGTGTGCAACACCAAGTCATCATCAGAGTCGTCATCATCATCGGATGAATAAGAAATCGAACCCACAAAATTATTCATATTTATATTTGAAAGTGTGTTTGTTTAAATTTAAAGTGTATGTATTTATATATATGTTAACTTTTAAATTTGATTTTTTTTTTAATTTTCGTTGAATGCAATGTTTAAAAGGAAAAGGAGGAAAACGGTCAAAAAGCAATCAACCAACCAATTAGGTTCTCCGTCTTTGACCGTAGCCAGAGCCACGCCACAAGACACCTACAGATATTTGGGGTGTTCACGTGTAGGTTGCCTTGCCACCTTAGCTGCTACGCGTCCCCAAATCAAAAGACCTTATAAAACCAGACTACATAAATGAGAGTTCTTCCAGAAGTTGATCATTTTTAGAGGTTATATTTAAAAAATATATTTAACTGAAAGTTTGATTTGATTGGTTTATTTATTTATTTAATTTAATGTCTATAAAATAAGATAGACACATAGATAACTCTAAAGTTTTTGATTAAATCGAGATGAAATTGTTTTGGATTAATCCCCTCAAAAACTTTACAATTAAAGATGTGGCAAGCAACGTGGGGCACAGCACTGATTGGAAGCAATATGGCGGTTCCACGAGGAAGACGATGACAACACACGGCCGGAGACACAGCTGTAACAATTTCCAAAGACGAGACAAACAACACACACACAAATACAACACGCACTCACCACTGTCTGCATCAAAATCAAACCCTCATTCACAGAACCAGAATCTGCAGAATCATGGTGAAGAAACGCCTTCCTGATTGGCTCAACAGCCCCATGTGGTCTTCTCCCACAGTTACCACATCTCCACCACCGAAATCACGATCGCTATCGCCACCGCCTCCGCCTCCTTCGTCGTCGAACGACGATCGATATGGTATTGGTAGTTACCCTTCCAAATCTTCCTCCGTCACGTCATCCGATTCTTCTCTGAATGAACCGCATGTTCCGTTGCCACCTCCTACTTCAATCAAACATGAACCGACTCCGAAGACGAAAATTAGGGATTCATCGACCCGTAGCGTGAACAGTGATAACGACGTTAGTTCCTCCATTGAAGATGTTTCACATCAGGCACAGTTATTAGAAGAGGTTAGACATCTGAATTTACACAATCAGAAGATTTTCATGCTTCTAATTTCTAGAATACGATCAATCAAGTTTTTTACTGAACGAAAAACAATTTCTAGCGAACACAATTGGTTCCCAAGTAATAACCGAAATTCAAATACTAGTAATGATAACAAACGCAATCATTAGTCATTACACCTCTTTTTTTTTGTTGATTTCCGTTGAATGTAGCTATCGAGGAAGATTATAAACATTGGAGAACTGCGACAACTCTGTTTGTTGGGTATTCCAGATGCTGCTGGCATCCGTTCCACTGTATGGAAGGTGAGTAACAAAATGCGACCTGTGTCGAGTGTTGAGCTCTATGTGTTTGAAACTTGAAATAGATTCATTTGTGATTCTTCCATATTTGCAGTTGTTGTTGGCATATCTTCCAACTGATAAAGGGCTTTGGTCATCAGAATTGGCTAAGAAGAGAGCTCAGTACAAACAATTCAAAGAGAACCTTTTGATGAATCCAGTAAGTTTTTAGTTCATATAATTACTTAGTAGACTTCTTGCTCCATGATTCTAAATGTTTCTGTGGCTAGTCAGTCAGAAATCACCAGGACATTGGAAGTCTCTGCATCTCTTAAAAATGGTGATCTAAGTGAGGGAAAAGGGTTACTGGAAAGGTCAAAAATTCCTCATGGGGAGCATCCATTAAGCCTAGGGAAGACTAGCATTTGGAACCAATTCTTTCAGGTATGATTCCACTCTCACACAAGAAAGAATGATTTTTGGATTCAATTCTTAAATCAAATACTTTGTAGGACTCTGAGATCATTGAGCAGATAGATCGTGATGTGAAACGAACTCATCAAGACATACCTTTTTTCTCTGGTGACTCAGCATCTTCAAAAGCCAATCAAGAATCTTTTAAAAACATACTCATCATATTTGCAAAACTGAACCCAGGGATAAGATATGTGCAAGGGATGAATGAACTTTTGGCCCCTTTGTTCTATGTTTTCAGAAATGACCCTAATGAGGATTCTTTGGTAAGTGAATAAAATAACATTGATTGTTAATTTGTCATTATATCAATCATGATTTTGGTTTAGTTGATATGGATTTATTTGTACAGCTTAATGCTGAAGCAGACACGTTTTTTTGCTTTGTTGAGTTAATAAGTGGTTTTAGAGATAATTTTTGTCAGCAACTTGATAATAGTATTGTTGGCATTCGATCCACAATTTCAAGATTATCACAGCTTTTAAAGCAACATGATGAAGAGTTATGGCGTCATCTTGAGGTCACAACAAAAGTAAGAAATCACTTTAGATAGAAGGGTAAAATGGTCATTTACATTTACTCTCATTCAGACAGTTCATTCAGTCCAAAAAGAAACTGTATGTGTTCATACATTACTTAAAAACAAAAAGACATTTATCCATTGATCTCTTTCATCCATACAACAATTTTGATAGACAAAAGGGTAAAGATGTCATTTACTCATGAGATGATTCATGGAGTCCAAAAAAGAAACAGTATTTGTCAATACAACAAAGACAAACATCAACTATCCATTGAGCACTTTATCCATGCAACAATTTCATTTTATAACAGTTTGCAAATAAGCAGTCTTTTTATTCAAATTTACTTCTAGATAAAAGGGTAATATGGTCATTTACTATTGACACAGGTTCATTCAGTCCAAAAAAGTAGTTTTTTTTCTTCGTACAACAGGCATCATCTATCCATACATCAGTTTCATTTTATAATAGTTAGTTCTGAAATAGTCTAGATAGAAGGGTAAAATGGTCATTTACTCTGTCCAAAGAAAAAAAAGGTCTCTGTTCAATGTTCTTACAACACTTGCTGCAAAAAAAAAAGAGCATGCGCCAAGATTCCTTCTTGTCTAAAACTAAACGGAAATTCATTTTTTTTTACATCAAGTGAATGTCGATGAAAAGACTAAAATGCCCTTGTAATGACAGGTTAACCCACAGTTCTACGCATTTAGATGGATCACACTTTTACTGACTCAGGAGTTTAACTTTTCTGATAGTCTTCACATTTGGGATGCCCTCTTAAGCGACCCTGAGGGACCTCAAGTGAGTCAACCAACATTTCTATATGCCTAGATACAAGGGTAAAATGGTCATTTACTCTCTTGTTCTATTACATTTACAGGAGACTCTCCTTCGGGTTTGCTGTGCAATGCTGATTCTGGTTAGGAGGCGTTTGCTTGCTGGAGATTTCACAGCAAATCTCAAGTTATTACAAAGTTACCCTTCTACAAATGTTAGTCAATTGCTTTATCTTTCCAACAAGTTGAGGTCTTGTTAAAATTAAATTCACTGATTTTGTAGGTTTTTTTTTTTGGATGGGTAAATTTATAATCACAAATGTTAGGTTTCTTTATTTTTGTTAGTAGGTTTAATGTCAGTTAAAAAGTGTTAGTTTTTTTTTCCTGCTTCACTTGGTTTATGGAAATCGAACTTCAAAAGATGTAATGTAAACTGTTGTACATTTTACACCATTGTTTATAGAATGTTAGAGAAATTCCGGGAAAATAGCAACACATTTATTCTTTTATTACTAGTATATTGACAATGTACTTTAATTTTTACCTATGATAGCAATGTAATATTAGTTTTTGAATGATTGACACTCTGTCCTTTTGCTTATGTGGCATCCAACCGATGTTGATGTGGCAATATAAATACCAAATCATCAGCCAATGGTTGGGATTGGATTCCTATACCTTTAAGATCCGAGGGTATGGTCATATTTTACCTTTTACATTTTTTGTGCCATTATCTTATTTTTCAATCACTCTCTTTAAAATCCAAAAAATAATCACATTTTATTTCATCTTACTTTTTTATAATTTGAAAAACTATAATTTAATAAATAAGTATAATTAGTTAAAGACAAATCTTCCCATGTGGTTTGCCAAAATTTGGGCTTAGTCCCTAATTTTTTATTTTATTTTATTTTTTTATTATTTTTTTGTGTGATGGAAAGTCCACGTGGTTTTCAATGTATATTGTGGTTAGTCCATCGTCTATGTAAAATATATAAAATGACTTTTGTACCTTTTTAAATTTCTTTTAGTTTTTTCTTTCTGGTTAATTAGAGTTTAAATTAATATTTATATTATTATTAAATCAAAATTTAGAAATAGTCTACACCCTCACCCTTTTTCCTCTCTCTTCTTTTGCCACCGATAACCACCACCATCTTCCAACACCATTACCACCAGAAAAGGCTTCCACCATTACCACCACCATGACACTATCTTCTCCATCCACCCTTTTCTCTCTCCCTTCTACCACCACCACCACCATAAGTCAACGCCCCCGCCACCCCACCACCACAACTTCAAATCAATACCAGAAAAGACCTTCATCATCCACGAACCACCACAACATCCATCATCAATTTCTAGTAAAAAAGAATGGGTTATTTCATTCAGGAGTGAAACACAAATTGTGTAAATGACCAGATTACCATATTTGATTAAACCTCAAGGGAACATTCTCTCTCTTAGGATCAACAACTCCATCAGCCAAGATCCTGATCCTGACCACCTTCTTGAAGTTAAAGTGCAAGCAATCCAAAAAAACGATACATAAAAGCATTTCATATATAAAAGAAAAGGTGGGACCTGATGGCGTAGCCGGAAACGATTCGTCCCAGTTAAACCCATCGAAATTACCACCACTTCCTCCATCGCCGCTACCACCAAACGGACCATCACCGCCATCAAAGAACCATCCTTCGTTTTCATCGATGAAGGGAACATCGCCAAGTCCACTATGGATCGACGATCCCCTTTTCCCTAACAAATTTCTGACTCTCGATATCTCTTTCAACTATTGCTCCACCATCACCAAACTGATATCTGCAAATATATAATGTGTGTGTGTGTGAGTGAGTTTTAGTTTATATTTTCCGTAGACCTCCTTGTTTCCCCGACGAAGCTTAAGAACAGGGAACCACAGAAAACCCTCACATCTGTTGGTGATTTGTTTCACTAATTGTATTTAAGTGTAATAGGTTGACTTGTTGACCAAAAATCAATATTGATGAATATTAAACAAGTAAGGAAGGTGCGGAGTGCACACTTGTTTAAATTTATTCAAGATTAAAAGTAGACTGTCATTTAGGGGAAAAGGCCCTGAATGAACGGGGGTCCGGTGGCAGCACCCCTGGGAGCGGGGTCCAAGGGGCAGAGCCCCTGGATGGGGTCGAAAATTTTAATATTTGACCCGTTTTTGGTTTTGCATTAATCCATATAGAAAACCCGGATTTATGACAGTTTTTAACTATTGGAAAACTGTTTTATGACAGTTTTGATAGTTTTCAGACAAGGGAGACATTTAACCAATTTTTGGACAGTTTTGTGGTACTCACAAAATCCATTCATTTCATTCTCTGTTCTGAATCTCTTCTGAGTCTTATCCAATCAAAGATTAGGGAGTACCACCCAAATACTTTGATTTGAAAGTGAAATCATAATTCTCAGATATCCAAGTGCCTTTATTACCCCGAAATTCTAACAAAAATCAAAGTATTATGTGATCATGGCAAGTGGCGATTATGTGAAGGATATGACAAGCAAATTTGACAAATTGAACAAGTTTGAAGGGCAAGATTTTCGTAGATGGCAGAAGAAGAGGCACTTTCTTCTTACTACTCTGAAAGCGGTGTATGTTTTGAGTACACCATGCCAGTCTTACCAGAATCTGTTGAAGATGAACCTTTGGAGGTAACAAGAAGGAGATCAAAGTGGGAAAATGATGATTACATATGTCGTGGTCATATTCTCAATGGTATGTCTGACTCTCTTTTTGATATCTATCAAAATTTCGAATCTGCAAAAGAACTGTGGGATTCTATTGAATCCAAATACATGGCTGAAGATGCTTCTAGTAAGACGTTTCTTGTCAGTAACTTTATGGGTTACAAGATGATTGACTCCAGGCCTGTTATGGAACAATTCCATGAAATGTTAAGGATCCTGTGACAGTTTACTCAACACAATCTGAAAATGGATGAAGCCATTTATGTGGCTGTGATCATTGACAAACCGCATCCTTCCTGGAAAGATTTTAAACATAATCTGAAACATAACAAAGAGGAATTAACTTTGACTAAACTTGGAAGCCATTTACGGATTGAAGAGTCCTTAAGGACTCAAGAACTTGATAACAATCCTAAAGGAAAGAACCAAGTTGGTTCCTCTTCTGTAAACATGGTGGAAGGAGAAAGTTTAAAGAATCCCAAGAAGTCTAATGGAAAAAGGAAGTTTAAAGGAAAGGATGACAAGTCTTCCAACAAGAAGACTAAGTTGGTTTGTTGGAATTGTAACAAACCGGGTCACTTCAAGAAAGATTTTCGTCTTCGTAAAGTGAACAAGGATGGTGCTGGACCAAGTGGATCCAAGGATCCAGAAAAGAAACAAGGTTAGATTTCTGTTTCCATGCATAATTCTAAATATGTTCAGAAGTATATTTCTGTGATTTCTGAAGCATTTTATGTGCATGATGATGATGTTTCATGGTGGGTTGATTCGGGAGAAACAAGCCATATATGTAAAGATCTTCGTTGGTTCAAGGAATGTTAACCAATTGAAGATGGATCTGTGGTGAAAATGGGAAATGTTGCAACTGAACCAATCAAGGGTTTAGGGTCTGTTTTACTTTACTTTACTTCTAGAAAGTGTTTGTGTCTAAACAATGTTTTATATGTACCGGGGATTCGATAGAATCTTGTGTCTGAAATTGTTGTAAATAATTGTGGTTACAAACAAGTATTAGAAAGTGACAAGTATATCTTGTCAAGACATGGTTCTTTTATGGGATTTGGATATGTATGCAATGGAATGATTAGACTTAATATTAATTATCCTTTTATTGATAATTCTGTTTGCATGACTTTTACTAGTACTAGCAATAATTTTAATAAATCTGAATTATGACATGCTAGACTAGGACACATTCATTACAAGAGATTAAAAGACATGTCTGAAATGAGTTTAATTCCTGCTTTTGATTTGCAAAATAATGAAAAATGTAAAACATGCATGTTAACTAAAATTAAAAGACAACCTTTCAAAGATGTTGTTAGGGAAAGCAAGGTGTTGGAACTTATACATAGTGATTTATGTGATTTCCATGCAACACCTTCCCTTGGAAACAAAAAGTATGTTGTTACTTTTATTGATTATGCATCTAGATATTGTTATGTCTATTTGCTATATTCCAAAGATGAAGCTCTTGATAAATATAAGATTTATAAACAAGATGTTGAACTTCATAAAAATGAATTAATAAAAGTTTTACGTACAGATAGAGGTGGTGCGTATTATGATCCAGTTTATTTTGAATCAACTAGAATCATACATTGTAACATCCATAAATTCAAGCCAATTTAAAACTTTTTCAACCATTCAAAACCCATTAATTATTACAAAGTGTTTTCAAAATAGTTTAAACATAAGAGTATCCCAGAAATCCAAATCATAAAATGTGAGGAAGTGTACGGTCACGCCTTCGCCTGCCCGCGATCATTTGAAGTACCTGAAACAAAATCAACAACTGTAAGCCCGAAGCTTAGTGAGTTCCCCCAAAATACCAACGCCATAAAAACCATAACAATATCACACAAACATCATGCATACTAAGCCATCAGCCTGACTGGACCGCCTCGTAGGGCCTACAGCCTATCTGGACCGCTCCTGAGTCTTCGGCATGTCTGGACCGCCTCGCAGGGCCTATAGCCTATTCGGACCGCTCGTCGGGCCTTTGACCTGACTGGAACGCCTCGTAGGGCCTTCAGTCTATCCGGGCCGCCCTGGGTCTGTTGGCCTTCAGCATAAAGCATGACCGCCTCAACCAACCACACACACATATGTCGACATACTCATAACACATAACAATCAACAGACAAGCACAGATCATACAAATCACTAAGCATAACATCATCCTATCTACCAGGATACCGATCTAACAGATCATAATAGCATAACTACATCCTATCTACCAGTATACCGATCTAATAAATCATAACTGTATTCAAGCATACTATAACCAGGATAACAATCCAAAAAGGGCCGGCCTTGGTGCCTTAGACCCTGTTGATATAGTGAGAAGAACTCACCTCACGAGTAGTGCTAAATTGATAATCGAATCCCAACTCACAGCTCCAAACTCAACTGCCCGGAACCACCATATGACTAATCCCATTAAAATCCCAAATTACCAAAATATCCTCAGAAGTCAAACTTGGTCAACCATGGTCAAATTCAAAGTCAACAGTCAAGGTTAATGGTCAACTTTCCTCATTATTCTATCCTCACGTCGTGACCTTCCCTGGCTCAAGTCGTGAGAGTCAAGTCGTCTTGGGTCGACACAGTAAGTCAACTCAGTTTACTCATCTCAGGGTTTCAAGTCGTGGCAAAGTCGTGCTCACGTCGTGAGACCATACTTCTCACGTCGTGAGAACTATTCTGTGAGCATTAAGCTCTTAATCCTTTAAGATGTGCGTTGGGACTTTCCAGGATACCATATCTAACCTAAAGGACCATAAAAATCATATATTTTAAGTCATGCATGTCCCATGCATGACTTAAACACAAGTTAGGTCAAAAGATGGGTAATAACATCAAGATTCAAACTTGGAGTCCAAAACTTGCTCCAAAATCCAGATCCAAGGGTTTTAAAACATTAAATGACTCAATGGTCCATAAAGTTGCAATCTTTATGGACCTCATGCATGATAATCCAAGATCCCATGCAAAGAAGGTAACCATAACCTACATCTAGCAAGATTAGAAGAGAAAGGTGGTATCTTTGAGACTTATAGAGGCTTATGAGCTCAGAACAACCACTAGGAGGAGCTAGGCTTGCCAAAGGAACCACCACAAGAGTGTCTTCTTCTTCTTCTTCTTCTTCAAGAAAATCAACCACTATAACACATCAATACCACCAACAATGGATCAAGGGCTCAAGAAGGTTGAATCTAGGGTTTTTCAATGACTTGAGAGTGAAGGAGGCTGAGGATGGGCGACCTTAGCCTCCTCATTTTGTTTTATACTCGATTTTTAGGGTTTGGAACTATCAAGCTTGACTCACGTCGTGAGGTCTTATGCCTCACGTCGTGAGGTTCGAGAACACGGGTCAAACAGTCAGTGGTCCTACTCACGACGTGATCACGTCGTAAGCCTCTTCCAAATGCAAATACAAATTAAATTAATATTTTTAATACCTCAGAACTCAGATGTTACAACTCTCCCCCACTTGAACTAGACTTCGTCCTCGAAGTCTGTTGCAGTGAACAGCTTCGGATAATGCTCCCGCATCTCGGCCTTCGGCTCCCAAGTCCACTCGGATCCCCTCCGATGCTCCCATTGTACCTTCACCAAAGGTATCTCCTTGTTCCGTAGAACCTTCACTTTCCTCTCCAGAACAGCCACTGGCCTCTCCACATAATTCAGGCGCTCATCGACTTGTATATCATCTAATGACACCACTTCCTCCTCATCTAATATGCATTTCCGCAATTGCGAGACGTGAAAAGTGCTGTGAATCTGACTGAGCTCCTCCGGAAGATCTAGTCTATATGCTACCTTGCCAACCCTGGTAATGATCCTGAATGGCCCGATGTATCGGGGACCCAACTTCCTCCTCTTCCTGAAGCGAATCACATCCTTCCAGGGTGAGACCTTCAGGAGTACCATGTCACCAAACTAGAACTCTAACTCTGATCGGCGCCGGTCGGCGTAACTCTTATGCTGAATCTGAGCAGTCTGTAAACGCTGTCTGATCAGCTGTATCATCTCGTTAGTCTACAGGACTACTTCGGTCTGACCCATCACCCTGTGACCAACCTCGACCCAAGAGACTGGGGTACGG